TATTCTGTAGATACTAGTGCTTATTCTGTAGATACTAGTGCTTATTCTGTAGATACTAGTGTCTATTCTGTAGATACTAGTGCTTATTCTGTAGATACTAGTGTCTATTCTGTAGATACTAGTGCTTATTCTGTAGATACTAGTGTCTATTCTGTAAATACTAGTGCCTATTCTGTAGATACTAGTGCTTATTCTGTAGATACTAGTGTCTATTCTGTAAATACTAGTGCCTATTCTGTAGATACTAGTGCTTATTCTGTAGATACTAGTGTCTATTCTGTAAATACTAGTGCTTATTCTGTAGATACTAGTGCTTATTCAGTACATACTAGTGTCTATTCTGTAGATACTAGTGTCTATTCTGTAGATACTAGTGCTTATTCTGTAGATACTAGTGCTTATTCTGTAGATACTAGTGTCTATTCTGTAGATACTAGTGCTTATTCTGTAGATACTAGTGTCTATTCTGTAGATACTAGTGCTTATTCTGTAGATACTAGTGTCTATTCTGTAAATACTAGTGCCTATTCTGTAGATACTAGTGCTTATTCTGTAGATACTAGTGTCTATTCTGTAAATACTAGTGCCTATTCTGTAGATACTAGTGCTTATTCTGTAGATACTAGTGTCTATTCTGTAAATACTAGTGCTTATTCTGTAGATACTAGTGCTTATTCAGTACATACTAGTGCTTATTCTGTAGATACTAGTGCTTATTCTGTAGATACTAGTGTCTATTCCGTAGATACTAGTGCCTATTCTGTAGATACTAGTGCCTATTCTGTAGATACTAGTGTCTATTCTGTAGATACTAGTGCTTATTCTGTAGATACTAGTGCTTATTCTGTAGATACTAGTGCTTATTCTGTAGATACTAGTGCTTATTCTGTAGATACTAGTGCTTATTCTGTAGATACTAGTGTCTATTCTGTAGATACTAGTGCTTATTCTGTAGATACTAGTGCCTATTCTGTAGATACTAGTGCTTATTCTGTAGATACTAGTGTCTATTCTGTAGATACTAGTGCTTATTCATTAGATACTAATGAGCGCTCCTGCTCTTCACTCTATTCTGCAAGTGTAACGCAGTGCAGTAAATCACACGCAGTGAGTGATCTGAGGACAGCTGAGTTTATTCACACACAACAAAGTAGACATTTGACCAGCAACGTTCTCATACACAGACACACACACACACACCATCACAGAGGAGCGCTGCTGTGTTTCTGTGCATCAGTTTTCTTTGTGTTCATTGTCGTGTTGTTGCGAGTGTGTTAAATGTGTGTGTTGTGGGTTGAGCCTTTGTGTGTGGTACATGTTGTGTCACATTGAACACACAGCAAACACCACACTCAAACACTCACACAGACCACACAACTTGAACAGTGCTGGTGTGGTGTATGTTGTGTGGTTTGTGTGTAATCCCACCGCTCTGACACACAGATGCTGTGAGCAGATTGAACTGGTGAGTGCTCTCATAAACACACTAAAGGCTGAGGCACTGGAACAACACATGACATCCCTCACACACACACACACACAGAGAGAGAGAGAGAGAGAGAGAGAGAGAGCACATATATGTGTGTGTCATGTGTTCCAGTGTCAGCGCTGCAGCCTCAGCCTTTAGTGTGTTCATTAGAGCTCTCGCCTGCCATGCAGGAGTCGCCAGTTCAATCCCTGCACACAGTGACTGTGTGTGTGTGTGGTGTGTATGTATGTTGTGTGTGTGTCAAGGGGTGTCACATTCACAATCATGCATTCTGTGTCCTTCAAAAGCAGCTTCGTTTGAAGCAAAATACCGGAGTCAAAATCTAAAATAAAAAAAAACAGCACACAAACACACACACACACACACATTCATTCACAGTGAACTCCACATGACACACACACACACACACACACACACACTCTGCATTTGGACGTCTGTGGTTTTGTGTGGGAGGAACTAAACTTACATTTATGAGACAGAAGAGTGAGGCCTGCTGCCAGAGGAGGAAGGAGAGATCAACAACACACACACACACACACACACAGTGAACAAATACACAACTACAACAACACACTCTCAGACACCACCTGCCAGCATCAGGACGAGGTGTGGGGCGTTCCTCTACAAACACTGAGGTAAAAATAGTGTACATCTCAGCTTATCATACACCAGTCAACACTAGCTCTGTACTATTTGTTAATGTTTTCTTACATGCGAACCTTTAAAGTAGACGTTTCACCAGCGAGGGTCTCTTGGAGGATCTCAGCAGCAGTCACATGATAATGAGGAGGTGATTGGCTAAAACACATTCTGGAGTCATGTGATTGATAAACAAAGATGGCGGCTGTGAGACTCACTTCACCTCCACCTGTTTTTGTGTTCTGTTTGTTTTAGAGATGTAAGCACTGTCTGAGATGCTCCTCAGTGATAAAGTAGACTCATTTTACATGTAAATCCTCAAAGCAGTGTCGGCTTTCTGAATTCTGGACGTGTGGCAGATAAGGTAATGCTAATGTTGTTTGTTTTTAGTTAAACTGCATGCTCGGGCAGTCACTGATTACATGCACTGAACTGTTTTTCCTACAAATAAATACTTGAAATCACTTTATATTACATATTTTCTTAAAAAGCACTTAATTAATGACTGCATATACATAAAGTGGCAGTAAATGTGTGTATGCTCTTAAAAATCAACTGTATTTACACAATCATTCCCTTTTAATGAGTGTTTGCTCAGCATTGCATATCTGATGATCTTATTACTTTAGTCTTTTAATAATGTATAACTACAGCTATTAATTACTTTAGTGAATTAATCATGTATACAGCTTCAAAATGAGAGTCATTTCATATTTGCATTTAGATTTGTGATTTAACTTTCTTGTCTGTCGCAATATATAAACTTAATATTTTCAGTAAACGAACGTTATATGTACACATTTAGGATTCTCTAATGTTGGTAAATGGTCTGTATGGATAAGTATGATACAGTCAAGTATAATATTTAATAATAATTTAGTATTTTTTTATTGCTTTTCTATTGATTTTTCTATAGCTTTTCCTAATTAATTCTAAATGTAACTCTTAAATGAAACGTACTCCCTAATGCTCCATCATCATGCAATGCATACACTTTTTCTCCCGTTATATTTTACATAAATATGACACAGAATGATCCAAATCTAAAACAAGAAATTATAAATCATAATGTGGCATATTAAATGACTAATTACACCAAGTAATCTACCCAGCATTTTTTTCAGTTACAGCTTAATGTCAATTTTTAATGAATAATTAACAATATTAATTAGTAGTATGCTTTTTTATATTTATGTACAGTATGTGCGATGCTGATTCATCAATTCAGATATCCACAACTGTATTTTTGTAGCTCTTAAAGGGGTCATGAAGTATCTCAGCGTTTAGTAATGCAAAGTTTTCTGAGGTGCGCTTATAACGGTGTGAAGATCATCATCAAACATAGAAGCATTTATCATTATTGTCTGAGCTGTTTCTGACTCATCAGAACACTGAATGGGCGTGGCCAATTGTAGACTCAAAAGTAAACGCCCACTGCTCTGATTGGCTATGAGCTGTAATATGATTAACAGTTCTAAACAGGCAGTGAATTTGGTGGAACTTATTCATCCTATGACATCATAGAATGAGGATTCTAGAATCTGTTCTACTCTGTCAAGCTGCTTTTAGT